ATAGTATATGTTTCATCCCAGTAGCATCGATATTCGCGGAGTTATTCCCGTTTAAAAAAAAACGTCCGTGAAAAATTTGGGCATAAATTTCTGTGCAAATTTTCACCCGATTTTTAGAGATGTTTTTTTAAACCAGAACAACTCCGCGAATATCGATGCTACCGGAATAAAACACATATCATTTTGTAGCCAAGAATAAGGCCTTTCTTTATATCTTAGAAATATCTTAGTAGAAAATCGCTCTACGCTTAGTAAATTGCAAGCGAATTCTAAAAATGTTAAAAAAAAAGTGAAAATTTTTATATTTTTTCAACTTCGCTCACAATTTGTGGAACGTAGAGAAATTTTCTATTAAGATATTTCTAAGATAGAAAGAAAGGCCTTATTCTTGACTACAAAATTGTATATGTTTTATTCCGTTAGCATTGATATTCGCAGAGTTACTTCAGTTTAAAAAAACGTCCATGAAAATTGGGTGAAAATCTTGCACAAATTTATGCAAATAATGTGCCCGAATTTTTCACGGATGTTTTTTTTAAACCGGAATAATTTCGCGAATATCGATGATACCGGGATAAAATAAATACCATTTTGTAGCCAAGAATAAAGCCTTTCTTTCTATCTTAGAAACATATTAGTAGAAAATTGCTTTACGTTCTGCAAATTATGAGCGAAGTCAAAAAAATAAAAAAACTTGCAAAAATTTCCTGATGTTAAAAAATAGATATATATTACCTTCTTCATTATGATCCATCATTTCTAAGTTCTCATCATTATTTTTAATATATTTATTAATTGTTGTATTAAATCATACACAGTTTCATTTGGTATTTCATTGTTAAAATTGAATTCATTATTGGAAATAAATTCATCAGAATTGAATTCATTATTTGAAATAAACTCATCATTATTGGAAATGGAACAAATGGAACCATTGGAATTATTGGAATTATTGGAATTAGATTCATTATTGGAAATAGATTTATCATTGTCAGAGTTAAGTTCATGTTTATATTTGAATTGATGAGTTTTATAAGTTTTTCTTGTTTTTAACCAAATTCCACATGAAAATTTATCTTTATTTTTGCACTTGTTACAATTACAAAAAAATGACATTGCAAAAATTAAAGAGTAGATTATCAATATACATTTTTTTATTTAAACAAACTTATCACGGGTTATATAATTTACAGTTGAATAATTTATTTATAATATCATATTACAGGAATCATGTGATCCATCAAATATTTTGACTTTGACCACAATTTATGTAACAGGGAGCGATATTCTACTATGATATTTCTATGCCAGATCAAAAGCCCTAATTTTTGACTATAAGAAGATATATGTTTTATTCCTGTAGCATCGATATTCTCGAAGATATTCGTGTTTAAAGTCAAACATTTGTGAAAATTATATTACAAACATTTGAATTTAAACACGAATATCTCCGAGAATATCGATGCTACAGAAATGAAACACATATCTTCTTATAGTCAAGAATTAGGGCTTTTGATCTGTCATAGAAATATCATAGTAGAAAATCGCTCCTATCACTGGCAAAATCAAAAATGAATTTTGTACAATCTTCTGTAAGTCATGTATTTTTTGTGATTGCCTAATTAATTTTTCTGATAAAGCTAGATTAACTACTTTATCTGCAGAGATTTATATAAATATTAAAAAACATGTTATTTGCTAAAAATGTAATTACAATGAAAAAAAAAACATGTTATTTGCTAAAATATAATTACAATGAAAAAAAAACTTAAAATATAATCACAATAAAAAACGTTTGTTAAAAATATACTATCTGTTATCTGTTATATATCTATATTTTTTTTTATTATAAAAATAAAAAAAATAATTCATTTTTAATTTTTTGCTCACAATTTTTTCTATTTTTTTATTACCTTTTTTTCTCAAAAAATAACCAAAAATTCTAACCTATAAACTATTACAAATGATTTTATTTTTCTCTTAATGAAAAAATAAATAATTTTTTACAAATATATGAAATATATAATCTTCTGTAAGTTATATGATTTTTTGTGATATGGCGTCTAATTAATTTTCTTAATAAAGTTAGATTAACCATTTTATCTATAAATCTTTATATAAATATCAAAAAACATGTTATTTGCTAAAATTGTAATTATAATGAAAAAAAAAACATGTTATTTGCTAAAATATAATCACAATAAAAACCATATTTGTTAAAAATATACTATCCGTTATCTGTTATATATTTTTTTAACCCATCTATTATTTATTATAAAAATGAAAAAATAATTCATTTTTAATTTTTTAATTTTTTTCTCATACTCACAATTTTTTCCATTATTATTACCTTTTTTTCTCAAAAAATGATTGAAAATTCCAACCTAAATACTACTCAAATGATTTTATCTTTGTCAATAACTCTCATGAATCCTCAAACAATGAAAAAATAGATAAACTTTCACATATATATATCCATACAATTGACAATATTACTTCTCAATTTAAAATAATACTATCTACTATAACTATATCACACAATAATACAATAACATCAATATTAAATTCTAATCTAGCCTTACCTGAATCATCTGAAAATGTACCTCTCTCAAATAAAAATTTACTTTGGCCAGTATTATCCCATGGATCTCCTTGTCATTTATGTCATTATTATGGACATTGAGCTTCAACTTATTCCAACATAACCGAAAATATAACAAACAAATGTATAAGATGTTTTCAAGAAAATCACTTATCTGGTAATTGTTCACAAAAGGAGCAATCACCTATTCCATTTAAAAAAAACTACAAATCTCCTTCAAAATTTTTATAATTATTTTATATATATATATATATTCATTTTTTTTATTTTTTATTTTTATAAATTTTCTTGGGTTGTCCTGGTGGACATTAATTTTTTCTTGGGTTGTCCTGGTGGACATTAATTTTTTCTTGGGTTGTCCTGGTGGACATTAATTTTTTCTTGAGTTGTCCTGGTGGATATTAATTTTTTTCTTGGGTTGTCCTGAGGATATTTTTAAATTTTTTTCTCATGTTAATTATAATATTCAATTTTTTATACAATTAATATTTTTAATTTTTGAGGAAGTTATTAAAATATATAAACAATAAGTATGTATCAATTATGCAATCTAAAAAATTTAATGAATTTGATTTAAATAATTACTAAAATATAATTTATTTTGTATTTTTCAATTAGATTTTATTGATATTTGATATAACTAAAAGAAAAAGCAAATATTTTTACTTTTATTAAAAATTTTGCTAGTATGTATATTCACGCCTGTTTTGTTAGAATATACATTCATGTGATTAAAAATAAAATTAAAGTATATAAACCTTAAAGTTTAATTTTTTGCATGACCAATAATTATGTACATAATTATACAATAAAAATAATTGAAATTAAAGTACATAAAACTTAAATTAAAGCTCAATACTAAATAATTTTTCATTTTTGCAAAACTAAAATAAAGCGCGTGTATACCTTAAATTAAAGCTCATGATTTTCACGAAACTAAATAAAGCTCAAGATTATACAATAAAAATATTAAAATTAAGGAACTTAATTTTGATGATATAGGTTTATCCTTTTAATATGTATGCAATTTATTCTTGTTTTTAAGACTTCTTAGTACTGTTTTTGACATTTACCTATTAAAATAAAAATTTTGTATGTAGTAACGATCAACGATTTTGTATATGTTATAATCATTATTTTTACATAATTAAGATTTTATATGAAACTCTAAACAATGATAA